CTTTCATTTAGGTACTAGTTTTCCCCCTTACTTACTGTGTTACTTTGGGCAAGCTACTAACTTCTCTAACACTCAGTTTTACAATTCAGTAAAATGGTAGTAACAAAAAACATTTACGTATAGAATTGTTTTGTGAGTTAACTCAGATAATCAAGCCAGATAAGGGCTTTAAATTTAATAAAGCCTTTATGCACAAGCGGAAGAGGCTTCACAAAGTTTGTGGGAAAATAAAAGGCAATGATAAATTTCCGTGAACCTTTTGAAGCACCCTTATATAAGCAGTTCCTGGGTTATGAACAAGACATGTGACAAATAATTTGTTGTGAATACTAGATTGTTTCAAAGTGAGGAAAAATTTATGTAATATTAAAGGGCAAGTAGGAGATGTACTTGAATTAGATTGTTATAACACAAGAACTGTCTGTACAAGGTATATTTTCAAGGTTTATTAGCTGCTAAGGACGTGATACTGTTCCTAAGTTTTTTTAAATGATTATATCAATTACTTTATTGCTATATCAGCAATGAAAATAAATTGTGTTAATGGAGGTACCTATTGGAGAAGGTTAAAAGAGGCTTATCCTGTAGAGAAGGCCAGAGCCACATAAAGATCTGAAGTGGTGGATCATTGATAATATTGACATGTGAGATTTCTGCACCAATGGGAAGTTTTCAAGCAAAGAGGATAGACCACTGGGTACCTCTGCCTTCTGCCCTCTTATCCAATCAGTACTGATAAGAAGACCTCACATGATTCTTAACTTCTCTACAAACACATAGGCCCAGCAGTAGGCCTGGCTGAAAGGCAGCTGAGAGATGTCTTTGAAGAAGCTGTCCTGATGAAAATAATAATTTAATCAAGGGTTCACAAGGGTGGGAAGGAGGGAACAAAGAGGAGCTGATACCAAATAGAAAGAAAATGATAAAGGCAACGTATGTACAAATGGGCTTGATACAATTGATGTATGGATAGTTAAGAGCTCCCAATAAAATGATTAAAAAAAAAAAGCTGTCCCGATCTTAAGTTGTAACCTGTTACTTCCCTAATAAACCACAACATCGAGTATAGCTGAGTTCTGTGTGACCATTACAACAAAATATTGAACCCCGCAGATCAGTCAGAGTGCTAAAATCAGAAATAGTGAAACACCTGGAGTGTACGCCTGACCTACAAATAACAAGAATCCGCTTTGTGCTGATCTTGACTCTCAGCTCTCCTCTTGAGTGAGGATGAGGCCCAACATTATCAGAATGCTGTGACTCATGCAGAAAAGAATTACTTGAACAGCATTTTTTTTAAAAAGGTGCAAATTATAGGACTCTCCTTCTACACTTGTTGGTGTGCTAAGGGGTTATGAATGTGCTTTGTGCCACTCCCATGCTTCCTCCTCGATTCCAAGCAGATGAATCATTTCAAGCCTTTATTCACTCTTTCCCTCAAGAACCAACACCATTCTCTATATACAGGTGGCACTGAATAAATATTGGCCAACCAAATCAAGCAGATTGACCAAAACCCAAACTAGTTTCATCAGACCCAGGGGTCATGTGTGTCATGTACCACAGTGAACTCTTCAATGCCTTTTTATGCTTGACCTTTTCAGGTCAAAATTCATCTGTATGCAAAATGGAACCTAGGGAGCACAATGGTTGAGCACTTGGCTCGTAATTTACCCGAGGCTTCTGGGACCCACAACAAATGGCTTCTGTAAAGACCACAGCCTAGAAACAACAAAAGCCACAGGGCAGCTCTACTCTGTCATGGCACTTGTTGAGTCTGCTACTTTAGCTAGTGTTTATGAGCACATGGAGCAAGGGAAAGAAGCGGAAGGAAAATGAACCACTCACCTAGAAAAGGCAATGACATTCCACACCCAACCCACAGCATTAAAACTATTTAGGTCCTATCTTGTTGGAAAACACAGTTCACTTGTTTCTGGATTCTAGGTCATGTACACTAACCATGCTGCCATCCCTGATAGGGACTTGGGTGGGCTAGCACAGCAGTATGGCTCTAGAGCTGCCTTAGCGGTTAACCAGTAGGCAAAATTTCTCAAGGTTCTCCTTTCATGAAGAGGGAGAAGGGGATGAGTGACCCTCTGGTGCTAAAGTGTTATTGCTCTCTGAAACCTTTGTCACCGATCCTCAGAAACCTTGGGTGATAGTTAAGGTTTACTGTGCCAACCTGGCTGATGAACACATGTGGGATTAATGGAAGGGCAGAGAGATAAATGGCTCGGTGAGCCTCGCCTTTGTGGTCTCTTGCTCTTTGATGATCGGGCCAGGGTGCAGCTGCCTTAGTTAGCTAGTTCCCTGCTTCAGCTGCTAAGGCTCACTTCTTTCAAGATAACCCTGAGGAGAAGCCACATGGCCCTATCCTGATGCAGCCCTGGGTGCTGGAGCAGCCATGTGGAGACCCCTGC